CCAAAACTGACTCCAACCACCCCCAACTCAACAAATATATATGTATTTCTCAGCATCTAGAAAATTCATAGTATATAAGTCATGCGCTAAAAGTATATTTGATAGTTCTAAGAGTCACACGAGGGACCTAAATGTAATGTTCTTGCTACGGTTGACGACCACGTCAAGGATTAAAATTCCAGAACGAAATTTCGGAACACCCCCCCCCCCCTCCCATAATATTTTTTCAGCTGATATTTTTATTTTTTTTGTGAATTTTGGCAATATTTTGTTCAAATTTTTGAAAATTTCGAACCAAAATTTTGGTATATCAGCCCCCTCACATATAAACGTCCAAACCAAAAGATTAAACCCTGGGCAATATACTTTGACCACGGTAGATGTGTATTTATAAGTTCATAGACCTGTACCGGCCATGTATTTTACCCACGAGCTTTTAAATACTTGCATCATCTTTACTATTATAAAAATTAAAGTTGTTTTTTCAGTATTTTGATACGTCATCCATATATGAGTTGGTTTTAAAATCGTTCGCTTTTGAAAATACATATCCGTATTTGAGTCGGGGGGTTTTAATTTTGTCCGCTTTTGGAATGACAGAAGGAGTCGTATAAGAAATCCATTAAAGAAAACTCGCATGTTAATATGGGATAATCGAACTCCCTAATTATAGCTCATGATTTTCTAGACTCACAGTGAATTTCACCTTTACTAAACCATATAACAATAATAAGATTAAAATAGCTTTCATCCGTTGTAACGCACGGGTATTTTTTCTAGTCTAGTAATAATTTAACGGGAATGCTAGGGGATGAGATACCGTTTCCCAACATGATGCCCCTCCTCCACAAACGCGATTCTCACCCATGCGACGCGCCCGAAGCCATCAGCGCGCGCCCGTCCCCTGCCTCCGTCGTCCCCATCCCCTACCGCCGCAGCGCCCGTCCCCCGCCGCCGCCATCCCCATCCCCCACCGCCGCCACCGCCGCGCCCGCACCCACCGCCACCGCCGCCGTCGCCGTCCCTTGCCGCCGCGCCCGTCCCCTGCCATCGCCGCCGCGCCCGCACCCACCACCGCCGCCGCCGTCGCCGTCCCTCGCTGCCGCCGCCGCGCCCGTCCCCTACTGTCGCCGTCGCCGTTGCCGTCCTAGTCTACAGGGGACGGCTGCAGGTGGCCGGCCGCGCGTCGGGATGCTCCTCTCCCAACGGGATGCACAGTTATATCTACTAGGAATCATCTGATACCTGGTAAGTATCATCCGATATCTCTTAAGTATCGCGCGATACATAGCAGAAATCGTCTGATACCTGACATGATACTTCGCGAGTATCACGCGATACGTGGTAGAAATCGTCTGATACCTGACAGGTATCACATGATACCTCGCGAGTATCACGCGATACGTGGTAGAAATCGCATGATACTTGATAAGTATCACATGATACTTTGCAAGTATCACCTGAAACGTTTGTAGAATCGTCTGATACCTGATAAGCATCACACCTGATACCTACTCGGGATCATCTCGTTCGAAAACGGGATTCCGTTATATAGCAGCCCCCATAATTTAAGAGGCAAGGTTTTGCGCTTACCAAGGTCAACGTGCTAAGAGCAGGTACAATAGCAGGCTATTAGCCAGCTATAAACATATTTTAATAAGATAAAGATGAGAGAGAAAAGTAGCGGGCTACATATCTGTAGCCAACTGTAGCACGGACTCCAAGACGCATTGTGTGTATGACAGGTGGGACCATATATTAATAGTATAGTAAGCAATTATTATATGAATTGACTATTAGATTGGTTATAAATGATTTGGAGCTAGCAGTGGGCTATACTATTAAACTTGCTCTAAACTATGCTGATTAGACTGAACAAACCTAAATTTAACCAGATGTTATGGATTTCGACCGAAGTTCTTTTTTTTTTTAGATAATTCGACCTAAGTTCTTAAAAAAAAAACCATGTAAGCGTCGCTGAAGAAAGTACTAATAGATGATCCTTCACTTTATGAAGCTTATAACTTGTTTAACATGTTGAACCTAATAAAGCGTCATCGAAAGTGAAGGATGATTGTTAAACTTGCCTGGAAAACGTGGTTGGATCTAGACGAAAATCTGTCCGTAAAGCAGCCCGAAATCCTTGTTAGTATCCAAATCAAAGAGAGCGCATGTGTTGTCATGGAGAAAAGGACACATGCCAGGATGAACCTTCTTCTAGAGTATGACATTAAATTGCTGAAAATTCAGTGATTCGGGTGGACTGCTCTTATTCAGTCAGCTTGGGGACAGAGGTCAGAGGGGTTAGTGCTTTGATTGTAGCAGGTTTAATTACTTACTCCTTCCCGGTTAATAATACATACTAGTGCCACATCACTTGACCAGATTGTCACATGTCGTGGAGTTAGTGTTAGTTCTCAAAACAAAAAATAAAAATAAAAAAAGAAACAAGAGTGCACTGCTGTTGTTAGTGTGCAGTTGCACTTTGTTAATTACCTGGACAATGGCTTCAGCTGGTTCTCATTGAAACCTAGTCAGAGATGTAGATACATCAAACATGGCTGTACTTTTTCTCCACTGATTGATCATGTAGGTTTTTTTCACTGAGCATGATAAATTGAGATATAAATTAGTAATTGGAATCCAAGAAGAAATATGATTGTAATTCCTACCTTCTGGTCTCACTCACTGATCAAGTAATTGGGAGCTAGGTCGGCCTGCCAGCTACTACTGTTTGTTTTCAGGGATGTAAAACTGCATGCATACCATATGTTGTAGATCTTTCTCCCCATGTTTTGATGTAAGCATCATTTGTTGCACTTTATATCAGAGGATGGAGGAATCCACATCTGCATATCGTTTACAAGTCAGTAAATTGCTTGCAGCATGGGGAACCTGAAGTGATGTGATTCCCTGCCTAAACTAGATGGGACGACGAGGGACTTAAAGTGGACCTATTCCTTTATTGGGTCTTACAGCGATGGGCCGGGCAGGCTATCCAAGACTTGTTGGGCCTAGTGGAATCAACGACCAGACTTTCAGCTCTTCCGAACAGGAGAAATTTGGAGGATTTTCGTACGGAATAAGTTCACATTAGGTCCCTTAATTTGTTCTGAAATTTATCTCTGAACCGAATACTAGGTATAGACCGTCCCCCAACTCACAGCAGTGTCAATTTTAGTCCCTCGGAAGTATAATGACCGGTTTCAGCTGACATGGCGGTTGAGTCAAGCGTGCGACCCACATGTCAGAACAACATAGTCTAAATAAAAAATAAAAATTGGTGGACCCCACCTGTAAGCGACACATAATCTCCTTCCTCTCTCTTCTCTCAACCTTTTCTCGACAGCATAGGCCGGAGCAGAGCGTCAGCGCTATGACGCGTGAAGCCATGGGGCGTAAGCGGCGGCATGAAGGAGCACGGCGGCCATTGGCGGAGCAGTTGCATCTCCTACGGCCGCGTGCCTCATTCCCCTTCTTTCCTCTCTGTCCCCAGAGGCAGGCGGCGATTGGCGAGATGAGCTGGGTGGCAGCGACGACTGGCTAGAGAGGGCGATGGGTGGCAAGAGAGGAGCTAGCGGCGGCGGCAAGAGAGGAGCTGGGCGCGGGAGAGAGCAGTCATTTGGAAAGACGTTGTCGTCTTCTCCGGCGTCGCTTTCTTCAACATCTTCTTCGGCTGGCTACTAAAAAACACTATCGGCGCCTGTGCGATGGCGGGAGAGAGAAGCAGTCGTCTGTCCTCCACGCAGCCGCCAGCCTTGCCGCAAGCATCGGTCCTCCTTCACACTGCCACCAGGCACCAGCCTTTCCATGGGACCTTTGCCATCGCCTCCCTCCATTGTGACAGGAGAGAGACCCCTCCTGCCACCTTCTCCCGCCTCTGTGCCACTCGCACCCGCTCCTCCGTGTCACCTATGGTCTTTCACAGTCCCACTTCCTCCTCCGCCAGAGCAGCTGCCGCCACCGCAGTGCCAACCCCAGGCCCTTTCTCCTCACACAACTCCTCTCCCCCTCCTCCTCATCCTCGTGGGAGCTAAGCACACCCTTAGGGGTGGTGGAGCGGTGGAGAAGGTGCTAGTGGCAAACAAGGGGATTGCGTGCAGGGTGATGCGGACGCGCGTGGAGGCTTGGGAGCCCCACCGTGGCAGTCCACTGTGTTGTTGATCGCTGGGCACTGCACGTGAGTGCCACCGACAAGGCTGTGTGGCTTGGCCCGCTGCCCACAAGGGAAAGCTACCTCAACATCGTCATCATTGTTGGCGCTGCGCTCTGCATCGGCGCCACCTAATTTCCGCTGCGGTGGCATTGGTTGGCTAGGACGGAAGAGAGATGGGGAAGGAAGAGAGGGGAGAGAGGGAAGAGAGAAGGAAGATGTTGGTTTACCGACCTGTGGGGTCCACGAGATCTTTATTATTTGTTTTTGCTATTATGCCACATAGCCGAAACCGTCTTGGGACCTTATTTGCACTGATTTTAGAAGTTAAGAGACGCATCATATTTGGTTTTACGGTTCAATGACGAGTTTAAAACTCGACGATAAATTGAGGGAACCAAAGTAAACTTATTCCTTTTCGTACAAATTGAACCTGTAAAAATTCCTCTCTTAAGAGCCCTCACATTGTGATCGTGCCAGATTACCCCGATCATCAGCCCAGCCCATCAATGATTTTTCTCCGTTCCAAAGATCACGTTGGGATCCAGTTTATTTATGTGTATACGCCAACACTTTGAACTGAAATTATGATCGTGTCTGCCTGTTCAGTCATCTCGCTTAGCTTAAGCCAAAGTCAATGTGGTTATTTCAAGAAAATCTAGCTAAACATGCTTACATGTAGACTACGATGGAAACAGAATTCATATCAGTTAAGAAGAGAGATATCTGAATTCATGGGTGCAGAAATAATTATGACAACTCGAAGGGCCAAGGAACACAATGATTTTTATCAATGACATAACTACCAAAGACAACAGAAATTATTGTCATTGTGGAGCTACTAGCATTGATTCGAGCTGAATTTTGCAAAAAATAATAAATGCAAATAATCCAACACCCAGTGAGGAAAAGAAAGAATGTTGTAACTCGGCAGACAACCATTTAGCCCATAAACCAATACAAGACTGTTCACCATGGGGAACCTGAAGCATATGCAAGCAAGAACCCATAAAATGGACTCAAACTAGCTAAGTTTGAAATAATGAACCTGTAAGCACCAAGCACCACTAAATTGACATTTTTCCCTCTGTTTTTGGGGCAATATTGAATACATTGTGTGTTCCAAGTATCCAAACGGTTTTACAAAATTTACTTGATAGCTCACATGGCAGACTCCAGCCGAAAGAAGCCCCAATCTCACACAAATTGGTAAAATTGACGAGGGTTTGACAACCAGATTTATCATTACCTGAAACACTCAATCATTAAACACGTGTGAAATTCTGATATACATGGTATGTCGACACTGTATTAGGGCAAAACTGAATACAATTGATGCTGAAGGACATGTAGAACAAACCAAGTTTTTCATGATATTATTCTATTCAAACTGAATATTATGCACAGCCATGTTGTACAAAATCCAAACAAGCCAATGCAATTGCAATTCCAACACGGAGGAAGTTTTAAAATTATGTGGCCCTCTCATAATAAAATTCCTACGTCCAACTAGGGATAAACATAAATATGGGACAATCTCACAACTTAGACAAATAAAGAGAAACAGCACCAATCAAACTTTCTTACCCTGCCATTCTTCTATCTAAACTCACAATTGATTCTTTCATTGTTATTGCTTCTCATCATCATTCATTTCATCAGAATCTGAGTCACTGGCATTATATCCTGAAAAGGAGAAAAAAAATGATACATTAGCAAAAATGTTCACAGCCTAGAAGAAGCAGTTTTTATATTATATATTAAAAAACATACTAAACATTGTAATACCCGGACGCTTTGTGCCAACTTTCCAGACTGAAGGCCTGTATCTAGATGCCTTCTCAGCCCACGCTCTTCCCTTGTAAAATGAAAAAGAAACAAAATAAGTGCAAAGTATAATCAAAACATAGTATTCAACTATTATGATGCAGTTACTGGACATGTCTGTATTCCACAAAAATACACCACATGCAGAAAGAGGATAGGGAAAAAAATCGAAATAGTATGACGAATAAACTGTACTGTATCTATATAAAACTCATTTCACAGTATCTATATAAAACCGTAACCTAACTCAGATGTGAAATGTTTTCCCTTTAATAATTCAACCAAATGAATTTATCGTCTGTGCAAGCATGTTCATTAGCACTAGCAAATATGAAACAACAGCCATGAATTTCTTTGATCTTTCTTCTTTCATAACCTGGTTATTCTCCTCTAGGGTCCAGCTCCTCACAACTTGCTCTAAAGAGATGTCCCTTGGCTGAGTTATATAGGCAATATTTTGATCCTGTGGTTTAAGAAAGCTCTAAGGTTGAGAGTAACAGTTACTTAACAAAAACAACTAAGCACTGAAGTACACTTCCATTAAGTGCCTTGGAAGGATGATGACAAAAGCTATGGGTAGTCAAGCATAAATGCTTAGGAAAGATAGTGAAATCAATAGGGACAAAAGACCCCCAAAAATGCCTCCAGGTCTTATATTTTTCAACAAGATGGCAAACTAAATAGGCCTTATCAAATCAACAGAGGAAGTAACATAAAATGAGTTAACAAATTCAAACAATCAGTGATAGCTACTACCAAATAGAACATCAAATCATCAATCAACTGCCATAAAAGCAGCAACACTAGTATAAAACATTTACACAAACAAGAAATAACACCCAAATGTGGAGAACCCATTTCCATGACATAAATCAATTGAAACTTAACATACCCAAGGAACAGAAGTCTAACTGTTCAAGAAAAAACTTGCAAGAAGGATGGCACAGAGAATAAACACAACATAAAAAGGGCTAATCTGCATGTGAACCATCTTCTGTATCAAGTTTCCTCATTAAGCTAGCAAAGCTCAAATATCCATTGAATCCATCTCAACACATCAACATTTAGTTAGTTGCCTTATCAATGGTTGAAAAGAATAAACATAAAATCAACAAAGCAGAAAAAAGGAACCCCAAACATAATCCATCATTTGTCCAAAATTGCCCAATTATTCAACTGAAGCACAAACAATGGTGCATTATTTAGATATGGAAATCAATGAATTAAAAATAGGAAAGGATAGCATTTTCAAACCCTTTTTGTATCACGAGAATTTTCCTAGTTCTTACCTTTTTCCTACAAAATCTTTTGATGTCCTAAATTTCAGAAATGGCCTTAAAGGTTACGGATACCCCAAAGGTTTTGCTCTCCAACTAATGAAACATGACTACCACATCACTCCCAGATAGGAAGGCAAGTCACTTGAAGCTAAGCACAAATCTAGCAATTTGTACAGTGGTGTTTCCTCCATGGTTGGAGCTGGAGACTGTTGGACATCTCAGAATAAATATATATAAATGGGTACCAAAGCAAACATAGCCTCTTAGGTTGTGATGAGTCAATAGTGTTGGTATGAGATATGTGCATCTATCTGGCCAAATGAGGTGGTGGTAGAAGATAAAGTTTGTGTTCTTTTAATTGTCGAATCAAAATTATCTTTCCCATACTGGTGCTGAGGTTTTTTATATAATTATTATGGGGGTATGCCACGTGTGACCTAGACAATGGTAACCTCCAGTATATGATTGCATCAGCCCCATTTGTGGTCAGTAATGGGTTGGGCATTCATCTCCATAACCACACCTCCCTATACATTTTTAAAGTTGTTGGGATTTTCTATATAGTATATAGTATTGTTCTTAGGCGTATTTCACTTTGTACATGCAATATTTAGCATTAATACCTCCTCACTCCAAGAATATTACATACAGATTAAAAACTAACAAAGGCAAAGAAAGCTATGCTATCATCAAAAAGGTATAAACTTTAGCCAGCCAAATCCTCCATGATAAAGCAGCAATCAACTCCAAATATAAATGAAGCCAGCAAATAGAGGACAGAAAAAATAATGTTGCACCTTCTGTTTCTAACCAAAGAATACACTCCAAATACCAACCAAAACAAAACAGTATTTCTCTCTGTCGTGAGGAAAAAAAAGAAAACTAACAATGGCTGAGAACAGAACAGATCCTCCCATAAAAGTGTATGCAAGGAACCAGAAACAAATGAGCACCCCTGCCCATATTCTAATTATTTTCTTCCTTTCAAAATTGACCACAATTGCTAAAGAAAGGAAAAAAAACACTTGGTTGAATTCTACAAATTGAACCGGGCCACTACCATACATGTTGCCACTTCCCACCCTGAAGTTCAAACACCAGCTAAAAAAAAATATTCCACGGCTCTGACAAAAATAAGTCGCAACTTCTAGTTAAAACTATGCTAATAATAATTGTAATAATCGATACGTTAAAACTCTACCCAAAAGGAGGAATTGCTATCACCATATTGCATACAATACTTTACAAGAACCAGATTAGAACCACAAAAGCTTGTGCATCAGCACAAGAAAACAGCACGGAAGCAGTTCACGACCCGAACCCGACCAAAGTAACTAGATAGTATCATCGACACACAAAAAAAAAAGAAAAAAAAACTATGCTTGCAACTCGCAAGAACTAACATAGACAGGGTTTTGGTAAAAAAAAGGAGGCGTCCCCTACCCCCATGTCTTCCTACTCCAGAAACAAGTTGTAATCAGAGTCGCACCCTTATATTCAAATCTAAGAAGCAAGGCACTAGAGAAATCTAATAAATAATGCAGTGATAAACGGTGCGCACGAAAGGAATCACATCGTGTTTAAGCTAACGCCTTCCCCGGATCTCGATTCAGCCGAGCAAAATAACTTTGATCTAGAGATGGTTGAGACCTATAAACGGGGAGGAGCAGGAGCAGCTCGATCCTCCTCCGGTCTCTAGCACGCAGGGGCACATAACCAGCGGATCAAATCACGCACCACCACCACCAAAGGAAGAAAAAGACAAGGTGGGGGGAACCATGGGGGGGGGGGGGGGTGGGGCGGGGATGGATGGGCATGGGCGCACCTTGTGCTCGTTCTTGGGGATGCCGTAGCCGGAGTGGTACATCTGCGCGACGAGCACCTGCATGGCGGAGTCGCCGCGGCGGGCCTCCTTGAGCGCGTCCTGGAACCAGCGCTGCACGCAGTCGCCCACCACCTCCGACAGCGGCTTCCTCTCCTCCTCCACCGCCCCGCCGTTCACCCCCTCCATGTGCCGCCGCTACCGCCCTATGCCGCTTCGCCGCTCGGCGAGGCGAGGCGCGGTCGGGTTTCTTCTCCGGCAGTGGCGCCGCCGCCGCCGCCGCAAGAGGAAGGTTAGTTGGGGAGGCGGCGCGAGGAGAGAGAATTTTACAAAATAAACGGCGGGAGGGGAGGGGTTTTGTGTAAAATTGTCGGGGATTTTGCCTTTTTTTTTTTCTTTTTCTGCAAGTTGCGGGTTTTTTTTCTCTTTTCTTTACCTCGACACGGGACGGCGCACGCGGTTTTTTCAAAGGGGAGGGGGTTTGGTTGCCTGCCGTGCGGGGAAATCGCTTCGCCCCCGATTCAAATGCCGCCGTTTATTTGTGTAGGATTCGAATTCGGATAGAACATGTTTCAGCTAGAAATTGGGAAAGAAAAACATGTTTCACCAAGAAATTCGGACGGAAAACGTTTATGGTTCTCTATGTGGGTCGGTACCTGAGTCGGATACAAGATGTTTTCTATCCGAGACAAATACGGCATAATATTCATAAACATAAGTTTTTTTTGCTTTTAGAAATACATAAGGAGTCGTATAAGAAATTCTTTCAAAAAAAACTCGCATGCTAACTGGTACCGAGAGTCGAATTTCTAATTGCTTTAGAATTCTTATCAGATCATAAGAAAACAATATATAGGATATGATCATATATATTTGGATATTTGGATGGGAATGTTTATATATCAGTTAATTTTTGGATCATCGGATATGCTTTAAGATTCGTGCAGAGGCATTAATCCTAGCTCTCCTCCTCTTGTTCCCCTCGCATCGCGCATTCCGCCGCCACCACTCCCATCATGCATTCCTCCGCCTGATCCCCCGCCGCCACCGCCCCACCGCATCGTCGCCCGCCTTGCCGGAGGGTGTCAACGGCGCCGGCGAAACCCCCCTTCCCCCCGGCCAGCCTCCTTCTCCTCCCCACTCCTTCCTCCTCGAGCCATCGGCGGCGAGATGCCCCCACCACCAACGCCGGCCCACCGCCCTCCTCCAGCTTCGCTGCTCCGGCGCCTCGCCGCCCACCGCCGGGCTGTCGCCTCCCCCGGCCATCCCTCTAGAGCCGGCGAACTCCTCCCCTTCCCTCTCACACCCCACCCCGGGACCTTAATCTGTAGGTCCTCTGCCGGAGTCTAGGATGTCGTCGACGCCGGAGAAGAAGAGAGGTCATCGGAGTTGGAGGAAAAGACTTGGAGTACGAATCTTGAAGCTCATCCGATGGCCCAAAATCTGTAAGATTTGAGGATGCAATTTCTATGGACGGAAGGTTAGCAATTCCGATCCAACGAATAGAAAAAAACCATAAGGTGATTGGACAAACTCTCGTAAATATATTTACGTAATGAGAAATTAATCTTGTGAGTCAAACCATAAGGTGATTGGACAAACTCTCGTAAATATATTTACCTAATGAGAAATTAATCTTGTGAGTCAGGCGGCCGACCTGATGCGTAATTTAATGCTAAAAGCTAATGGTGGCATGTCACTTTCGGTACATGGATAGAAGTGGCTGCCACGTTGGAAATTAAAGGAAGAGATTTGCACGTACGAGCGGATAGGGATTGGAATTTCCTTTCAGCATCGACGACGACGTATGATCATTAACGACTAGGTTATCTGGTCATCGATCCTTTCCTTTCGTTGTAGAGTGTAGACGAGAAAAATACAGGCGCTACAGTATACTAAGTAAAATACTCGTGCTTCTCTACATGTAAAAAGAATCGTTAAACACTAAAAGACATAGTAAAACATGTCGTATATCAACATTGGTACAAGACATATAAATGATTTATATAGGCTAAGTATCGATAAAAAATCTCTAAAGATAAGTAGGACGCATGAAAACCATTATTGCATAAAAAAACATTATTACATATTAATATACTCATATTCTCATAATGCTCGTTCTCTCTTAACACTTACGTAGCAAAGTGTGTGATCTCATTTCTAAATTCATGTGCGTATTTGTGTAGAGACCGATCGTGGCATGTGTAAAAGATAGATAGCATACACGTTCTAATTTGTCATGTCTCATGGACGACAATAAAAAAAATCTTACCTACTTAAAAATATCGTTTTTTACAATTGCACCATGTGCTCAATTTGTTTTTTCCATGCCATCTGTTCATCATCCGATTTTCTATGTGATATTTTTTATAGCAAAATATTGGTATTGGTCATCCAATATTTTCGGTGATTTTTTATAGCAAAACATCCGTATTTGTAATAGGTGAAAATAATTTTATGTTAGTTTCCGAAGTTGAAAGATGAAGTTGTCGATAAACACTACCATATATCAAATATTTATTTTGTTATATTCTTAGCACGATGCATGTTCAACTCACTCTGCATATAGTGCCATAGTATATTTTTTCTTTTAATTTCATTTGTTTTTGTCATAGAAACAACTATAAGGTTTGGATTTAGAAATACTTTTTGAAATGGTCTATTAATAAAATTAAATAAAACATAAAAAGGTAAGAAAAAAAATCCATAGTAAACGGTTGAAATCGCGTGGGCACGGAATCGGACAGCGCGAGCACGTGTGCGGACGGACGACGATATTATTTTATCAGGTGTAGAGAAGTACAGGTTACTCATCCTGTATTGCAGGATTAGTACAGTGTACATGCATATGCTTATAGCGTATGTGCGTGTATCTTTCGTATAATTAAAAAAATCTTCTTCGTCACCAGATATAGGCACACATTCATCATAGATACGGCCGTAGTTACTCTCTCCACCAATCACTACAACAAACTAAAACTATTATTTTATTATTTTAAGACGTTTTACTTAAGTCGCTCTGTAAGTCGTCTCTGCTTTTACAAGTAAAATTAAAATAGGAACGATATTTGAGACGCTTTATTAGTTGAGGACATAGTTTAAGACGTTTTATTAGTTGAGGACATAGTTTTTAAGACACTTTACAGGTTAGCACAACATTAAATCGTTTAGAGATGAATATTGAGACGTTTTGGAACGTGACAGATGAGTTTTGAGATTGTTTCTAATCGTCATCGTAAAAACCATTATAATAATATTATAATTATTTGGACAAAAAAATTTGAATATTTAATATTTAATCTCGTATCTGCTAGATAATAAAAAATAAATAATAACCCTTTCATCCAGGCTCAAACACACCACCTGCAGGTTGTAAAGTCTAGACACTAACCAACTCATTACCATGGATAATTTTGAATGTCAATACACAGTTTTTTTTTTATATTGTAACTCTGCAAACATGCGTCATGTGGTAATCAGAAGTGGGTTGGCCCTGCACAGCACTTCATTTGTTGGGCCGAATGGATGACTGACAGCTGGCCTTCATGCCTGTGATCGATCGTGTGTATCCGCGACAGGGACCTGTGATTTTCGTCCCATACGCGATCTCTTCTGATTTTCTGATCTTGCCGCGATCACAGATCGAGCCGCGCCACCGGCCAACGCTTGACCCGGCACCTGGCTACCCCACGCGGCCACGCCCTGACGCCCACGCTGCCACGCACGACCAGCAGGCAGGAGCCCCCACACCGGCAAGCCCACGCCGCCGCCTTGGCCGCTGCTGCAGCCTGGAGCGTGTGCCGCCGCCGCGAGGAGCCGTCGTCGAGTCGATCAGCCGATTAGCCGTCCGCACCAACAATTTTAGGTTATCTATTTGTGTACTTTTTTAGTTACTGATTTTATATGTTTTAAGATGTTTTATTAATATATCATGATAAATTTTTTGGTGATTTGGTCTATTATATTATATATACTTACATTATATATATTAGAATTATTAGATTTACTGTGTTTAAAAAAAATAGATCGGACCACCCATATCCTAAATCCTAAATCCACCACTGATGAGCAATGGATGCTAGGAGCTGAAACAAGCCGTCGTCTCCTTCCTTCTGTCTCCTATCCAGCCCCAGGTCCAAAATGTTAATCTCTCATTTAGTGATTTAGACATTTTTATTCCCTATTTACGTTGGTTAATCGTTAAATGCCAAGAGTACTGTTCACTACAAATTGGTTGGCTTGATTTAATTTGTTTTATGCTAGCGAGAGAATACGGAGATCACAAATGTCAGACCTTCATATGATTTATAATTCTTACGACTAACTTGAATCAATTTAAATGAGAGAAGATATAAGAACCATAAAGATTAAGGTGGATCGAAATGATAGATATAAGTACCGCAAAGATGAAGCTACCTTTTACCAGTTGTATATTGAACTTCTGCTATGAAACTTGAGTAGTATTAACATAATAAGTTTATGTATCCATCTTTATGCCCTTCTCAAATCTCCCAATCAACTTCTCGTTGTTCTTATTTAAGTCAGAATTGGTCAGTGGATCAATTGCTAGTGCCAGCGTTAAGACTTTACATAGTGTTTATTCAATTAATTATGTGAATAATAGTCAGAGAAAAAATGATTTTTGTGACTTGGGAAATACTGTTCATACTTTATGCACATTTTGGACATGTTTTTGTAAAGTTGATGAAAATAATGTTAATTACCAGGTTCATGTTTTTTCTCTTATTACTTCAGCATACCATATAACTAGTGATGGATCGAGATTGGATGAGTGAACCCAGAACATCTGCTTCCTATAAAGATGGTGTAGCACATTTCCTATCCATTGCATTTCGTGATGTTCCAGATGATGCCAAGGTCCTTTGTCCTTGTGTGAATTGTAGAAACAGAATAACACAGAATTATGATAGAGTTAAAACACATTTGAGATGTGCTGGAATTCTTCAAAGCTATACCAAGTGGATTCACCATGGTGAGAAATATGATGCACCGTCATTAGTATTCGCTCCTGTATCTGGCAACCCTAGGAATATTCCTATTTCCGGTGCTCATAAGAGCAATGTTGTAGAAGTTGGGGATGGAAGATCGGATAACATGGAAGGACTACTAAACACTGCATTTGGCAGGGAAGATAGCTTTGAGTCTATATCGAGTGCTTCTATCGATGATGATGGTATTTATTTTGAGTCTAGCTATGCAGAACCTAATATGGTTGAGGATGAGAATAATACATTTGGAGATTGCCATAATGGGGGGGAACAAGATATGTTCACAAGGTTGTTGAAGGATGCAAAAACAAAACTATATCATGGGTGTGATAAATTTTCG